ATTATTCCTCAAAAATACAACTTTCCTAATAATTCTGCACTCCCTGTATATTGGATTCATAAAAATGCATACTTCTTGTTCTCTTGCAGTTGCTCTTTAAAAAAATATATCATCTCACACTTTCACATTCTGATATTGTCCTTTACATGCTTTTAAAAAGGACTCAGAATATCTGGATCCAAAATGTACAAAATACAAAGAGACAGATCATTCACTGTCACGCTGCTATCAGTTGGACATATAGCAGGCAATTGGAAACTGCAATGGATTTTCTTCGCTATCTAAGTCTAGTTTGTGACCTTTCTACAGCACTACTACATGGAAAAACATTTTGGCTATGACTGAATATGAATGCAGCAGACTATAAAATTTGCAAGATGACAAAACAAAATACAAATATTTATTTCATTTTTGTTTGATAATTAAAGTAAAACTATTTTACACTGTATTTGTTAAGTATACAAATCACTGTAATCATCAATAGTTCATAAAATGTGGTATTTCAAAGGTACTTAATAGTAGTTCATAATAACAAAAGGATGCTGAATCAATTTTAGGATTTTATGAGATGTTATTCCACAAATATTGTCACACACGAATGAGCCCCTTCAAAGGCTTCTGCAGATCTAAATACTCATTCAAGTTAACAGAGCTGACAAAACAAGGTAAAAAGAAACACACACACACGGCTGTAAGGAGATAACATAATCTATTAGCCTAAGTGACTTATATAGATTAATTCAAGTAAATTAATTTGATAAAATAATCCATTTGTCTATTTATCAGCAGAAACTGTACTAAACAAATATTGCTTAACAAGCTGCTCAACCAGTCCTGACAGCTGCAATGCAATTACTGCTGTTTTCAGCTCTCTCTCCTGTGGTCAGCTAATTAATTAATTGATTAATACTACTGACTGGAGAACATACTTACTACTCAAAATCAGCTGAAAATAAATAAGAGGGAAAGGGCGAGCAGTCGCATAACAGTTTGTCATCTCGAAAGAAAATGGAAAAGGCTGAAGCTAGTTTGGAAAACACACATAGATTTAAAGGGACCATTCTGCATGTGTGGTGTGCGTGCGTGTGTGCGCGCATATGTGTGTGGGTCATTATCCTTCCTATTTGCCTGCCTGACTCTCTCTGTCTTTCCTTTTGTTGGACTCGATGCACATTTTGACAGAAACTGCACACTAACAACCTAATTTTCTGACTGATGAGGTGACAGGGAGTACGGAAAAAGGGACAGCAGGGTGAAACTGTAGAGCAGCAGACATATAAAACCTGTTGGATTGCAGTCTTGCCAACGAAAAAAAGGAAAGAAGATAAAAACAGAATAGACAGATGGAGGGATGGAAGGACATAAATGAGTGTGAAGTGTTGTCAAGGTGATATTCCTCCTTTCTAACCTTTCTCTCTCATTAACTTTGGAGGTTTAACGATGGTGGCAGAGACAGAGCGGGATTTGACGAGAGGTTGGCTGCATGGTGCGAGGAGGCTAGCGGTGCCCTTGTGGGAGTCTCTCACCATCAACCCTATTCATTTAACGCAGGCTCTGAGAAACTGCGGAGAGTTGACCGTTTACGCTTCATGAAGGTAAATGTTGATGGGGTCATTCTGGAATAAGCAAACAATGCTTGCTGAAAAACACTGACTCCTGTTTGAAATGCAAGTATACAAGGTATACTAAGAACTATGTGATTTGATAAATGGCATTCAAGTACTGTATGTGGCTGCTAGACTTCCATATGTTATGATGTTCAGTGCGAGGGGCATAAACACATATCCAATTTACAAATTATTAGTTTTGAAGCATTTCAAATGTCCATTTTGCAATCACAAATAGAACATTAATGCTACGCTCAGAAGGCAGTTTTCTCAGTGGCTACAGCATGGTCTACCACCTGCAGTTAATGTGCAACATTCTTAAAGCCATTTTGTTACAGAAGGGAAGGTGTAACAAACAAGAAATAAACACCAAAAGCAGGAGATAAAAGTCCACATCGTCTCCCAAAGGCAAATGACAGCGATAGGTAATAAGTAATATACTATTACATACAAACCTTACTGCATACCATGACTATGCAACCATAACTAGTTAGCCACAATATTAAAACCACCTGATTAATACTCAGTAGATTGTCTTGGTTCCACCAAAACACCTCTGTCCTGTTAAGGGGAGGTCTTGGGGTATCCTACAGAGTCTTGCATCATTACACTGGCAGACGATAATTTGGTTCCTCTGGGTTGTGGTTTGTTACCTCTGTTGGTGTAGGATCTGATGAATCAATGCCATGACCATTTCACTGTGTTCCTTGAGTGATTATGGGAGAGTTTTTCTAGTGTGATGAGCCACATTGTCCTGCTGGAGGCCAATGCCGGTGTGTATTGATGTCATTGTGAGGGGCCCAACAGTTCTAAGGTGGGTGGGATACATGTTACAGTAACAACTACATAAATACCCAGTTCCATAGTACCCCAGCAGGAAAATACATTGTCAAAAAATACAAGAGATGATCACTTCACTTGTCAGTAGTTTTAATATTGTGGCTGATGTGTGTATTTGAACAGGATCATACACTTTAATTTCATTTGGATGTAACATTATCACAATACGTAACCTTTTTTAGCTTTCTGTGTTTTAAAGTTCCTCTTAAACTAAAGTAAAATTTCTGTGATGTGTCAAGGATGCAGGCTTTATTACTACTTTGTGACTTGTGAGTCTTTGTGATGAAATATCGACATTTTAGGCAGGTAGAATTAGGCGTGAGCCTGTGTTTTCCTAAAGTTAAGAAAAGTGAGGAGCTAAATATAGGTAGAAAGAAGCACAGAGGTTACAAAGCATTTGAAAGCAAAGGCTTGCACACACTCACATACAACACAAAACAAAACGGCATCACAGGAAAGCTCCCTTTGGACCCACCAGCAGTAAATTATCAGTGTTGTCCCCAATCTCTCGTTTTTCACCAAGCAGCCAGCACTCCTCTGGGTTTAAAACTCATTTTCGTGTGTCTTGTAAGCTCTACATTTTTACATATTTGTTCTAAATCCTATTATGAGGCCTTAGTGACATGAATAACGCTCGCAAATTGGAAAGTATCTCCAGGCAAAAGCTGGACACAGAGGTAATCTTCACAATCTAATCTCATGAAGCACAATAGCAGCAACCACACTTTCTGATGTTGTTTAAAGGAAAAACAGGATGGCAATTGAAGAAATTGAAGCATAAAATCTCAAGCACACTATTCATGCACATTAAAAGACTTTCCCTTTTTAACCTACCTGTTGGGTCTGAATCACGCAGTGGAGACTGGCATGTGTGAAGTGGGTCACAGTGTGCATGTTCTGGTGTCTCTGGTTGACCGGCAATCATATCCAAACCTAGAGGCGAAAACCCATGCAGATCACAGAAATGCTCTGATCCAGACCCAGCACTCTGGTTGTGCATTACCTGAGGGTATACACAAACAGATGGAGGAACACAGGAGAAGGGGGGATGGAAGGAGGAAGGGGGGAAGCAGTAAAAAGGGGAATGACAAAATGAAAACAGTGAGAAAAAACAGGTCATGTTAGGATGAGATAGTAAGTTGATACACGCAGAGACATGGAAAGAGAGTAACGTACAGTGGAATACAAAATAAAAGCTTGCTCTTAAAACTATCTGTGAATACAGTCCTTCCTGAATCAGTCCAAAAAGATAAAACAAGAGAGCAAACAATATTAATTTAACTTCAAGCTAGGTAAGCATGTTAAATTTGTATTTTTCTGTTTAGAATGTGCAAATACATATAAATGAGCTAGCTACTGTTCCCTCTCTCATCCAAACTTGATGAATTGATTTTTAATTAACCCCTGGAGCTGGCGAGAGCATCTCACAATAGTGTGGTGGGTTCGCTGTCGTCCCTTTGCAAGTGTCGTCCTGTGAGACAGAAGAAAATGTGGAAGTTCTGTTTAGATAAGATTAGATCTGATGCATTAGCATGCTAGCCTTGCAAGACATTGCAGATGGGCTGGGAGAGTATAGAAAGAAAGGCATGTGGGAATAGTGCCACACAGAGCAAGAAATGAGCAAGGATGGAGAATGACAAGAGGAAGACGGGGTAAAAGAAAGGAGAGGCAACACAACACAAAGAAACAGCAAGAGACCAAATACAATGATAGTGTGCTGCAAAAAAGGAAGAAAAAAAACCTTGAGATCTCTTTGTGCAGACCAATAGCTCCTCATAATAAGAAGGATGATGACTAGCTGCCTGAACTATAAAACTAGCCAACTGTTAGTAAAGTTAAAATAAAAGAAAAGGGCAGAAGGAAAGAAAAAGATTGAACAAAGGAAAGAGACAGAGAGAAAAACATACACAGAGGACCAAAGAGGTGGGTCCAGAGAGAGGGAGTGAGAAAAAGACAGAAATACCATCTAATCATTTTATGAGCAGTTTGATTCAGGTCCAGAGGCCACAGATAACCACCACCTTTACAATCATGAGCCTCATTTTATTCCAGCTTTTTAATAAAGCACTACCCTCCTTATTTTTTTTTCATTCCTCTGTCACAGTATAAAGGATTCATACCATTAAATGGCTGATAAGTCATTTGGGACCATTCAAGCACTGCCTTTTTAATCCACTCTGTTACTCTTTTCTTCCCTCAATGGTTTGCACCTTTAACACCACAGCTTTAGATGTCTCTGAGCTATAGATGAATAATGTAAAGTAATTAGTGTGATACAAATGTTATCTAATAGATCAGGTCAGCTACAATAAGAAACTCTAACTGTATGTCGCTGAAGCCTTCTCATTCAGTGCAGTGATTATGTCTAGTGTAATGAACTTCAAAAAGTTTTATTACTCAGCTTCAAGATATTTCCCAGATAAAGTTCAGTGGATGACTAGAATGACTCATTTGTTAATTCAATCAGTTATTTGTCAGCAATGAACCACTTATGCGAAGCAAAGGAGGTCATACAAGATTACTCATTTCGTGCAGTAAAAATCTCTGTGCGGCTAAAATGAGAGATATGCACCTCTGCATCAAAAACTTCTCACTTAATATTGTGGCTGAAAAATGTCTCAGTTAAGGTCATTATTGGACAATTTAAATGAGTCACACAGAAACAATGGTCGCAAATAGAATGGTTAAAAAGTTAATAGGTTAAGGTTCAAGTTACACCAGCAATAAAGACAAATCTCTTTTGTATTCGTTCCTGATTGTCAATTTGGCAGCCACTTACGAAGTTCAGCCACTTGCAATTTGCATAATATTCCTTCATTAGGAGAAGACTGATTCAGAGAAAATAATGCAATGACAGCTCTGTAATCCAAGGCTCCCTCTTTCAAGAACCAAAAGCAACTGGGAATACAGTAATATGTTACCATGGATAGTTCTGGCAGCTCTTCTGACTTATCAGTCTGCAAGTCTTTTGTTGTTTCTGTCTCTGCAGGAACAAAGGAATCTTCTAGATGAGATATGGCAGGATTCTCTTCTCTGGAGCTCCCTCTCATTAAATGCCCTTGCATCTGTGAATCTTCATCTGAAGTATCTTCTTCAAGTGGATCCAGACCCAGGCTATCACTGGACATATCATCGCCACTGTCTTCAGGCGAAAATCCAGGAATACATGTTTAGAGAATGAAAGGTTTATTTTAAGTTATGATTACAATAAGTTGTTTGTTGTTTCATAGACTATGATTGTTGACTTTGATCTAAAATGCTATGGCATTATGATTATTATTATTATTATTATTATTATTATTATTATTATTATTATTATTACAGAATTATTGTCATCCAAACAATGTTGGACTAAAAACTGTTTATTATGACTCAAACCACAGCAGCAGGATTTTCATCTCTATGATGCAATGAAAACAGCCCTTTCACATGGCGCTGCTCTGGCTGCTGCATTCTGGTTGTAATATGTCATTTTTAAGAGCACTCATAGTCTTTACGTATACATTAATTTTGCATTTCTATGGGCCACATGAACGTATGTCACGCTACGTTGCGGTGACAACGGCATGCACATGTGCCCAGCTGGTGCACTTGAACTGTACTTTGTTCCATGCAGCAGGAAACTTGGCTATGTATGGTGCAAACCATAGAAAAGAATGGGTCTCAGAACACAAGGGTGCCTTTATCATGTTTCATATGAAAGGGCCTTAAAGCTTTAATAAGCTGAAGAAGCAAGCTTTTAGAGTTACACCAGCTGAGAAGCTACAGTAAGTGGCAGAAGGATCCAAAAGGAAAGCACAGAGGAGATGGATGAACAGGCAGGTGTGAAAACTAAAAGTAATACCAGGAACAGATCTGACAGAACAAGCCATTATGAACTTACAGCCCAGACTTTAGTCAAATTCAAAGTCTTTTAGTAATGTTTTTTTCTGAATAAAACTGCACTTAGCAAACCATAACCATTACATACACATTCAGGACTGGGACTGTAATGTGTACGCAAATAGACCCAAACAGAAAGAATAAGGAAAAAACTCAAATAAATACTTTACTTTTGAGCTGTGTAAATACTCCCACACAGCTCAAAATACTCCTTTGAGCACAAATCTTTGATTGTTCAGTTACAAGAGTTAATTGGTTAGTAGTAGTACTAAATGTTTAGTGATATTCACATAAATGTACACAGCAAATAAAGTCTGTTCCTATCTTTCCAACCATTTGTTTTGGGCATACATCTGTACACATTGAGATGCATGACATTAACTATGAAGTTCACTGAAAGTACTCTAAGAGGGAAGGGCAATTCTCTGCTGCGTAATTACCTTCCTGTCTGTTGTAGCTTTATGTCAGGTATTTACTTAAAAACTAAACATTAATCAATACTAATAAAAAGAAAAAGAACACTTTTTATGGCTGGATCTAAATTGGCTTTGACAGCCCAGTGGAATAAAAGAAAGCCATTACTGCTAAGATCCACAAGCAGTTTATTCATATAAACTGCCTGACCAGTGAGAATTGTGTTCAAACTGTGGCATGACAAAGTGTTCTATTAGGAATCACTTTACTGCAAAGACCTGTGCTTCCCCATCCATAAACATGGACATTTCTTTCTCCTATTTTCTTTCTCCTATTTGTGATCCAAATTTGACTCCCCAGACATTATTGTCTGGTCTCGAGAAATCTCAGCAAATGCCTTGAAATGCAAAATGTATCAAATCAATTTATGAGAAATAGACTTCATAATAGAAGTATTCTCTATGTACAAATTGTAGCTATGCAGTGGAAAGAATATTTAGGAAGTAGGGCATATAGAGATGTATTTGCCTTTGCATTCAGGAAGACTTTAAACTACTAACAGAAATATCAGACTATGTAATTATTACTTGCTCGAAACAGTTTCTAACCTCTATTACCCGGTTATTTGGAAAGTATTTGTTACGCATGCCCTTTACCTCTGCTTTTCAACCTTGTTAGCGAGTGACCTTGTACCAAACCCTCCTTGGCCATTAAAGCTGAGGTGGAAATGTCATATCATATGATCTAAGAGCTGTTAATTGTATGAGGTGTAAATTGGCAATGCTTCTTCACAAGATAAGGTAACAATTAAATCTCTCATCTCATCTGCATTTTGTTAGAGTGAATCTAGAGTAGATCTGTAGTTAAAGCCAAACAGATCATCGCGGAGTAGTTTGCCAAGTTAATTTATAGCTGCAAGAATAAAAACAAAAGTGACATGACATGATAAGCATGTGAGAGAACTGAAGATGAGCTGAAACCACACAAAGACTGTTTTCACCAACTGTTTTGTCTTTGACAGTAACAAAGAAGCTTTTATCAGTCACATTGTGAGTCCATCTATTTGTAACAAAGATTTCTAACAATGTAATGTAATGTAATCACACAAAAGCAGTTTAAGACAAACCACTCTTAATAAATAGTTAATTTCGCACCCATTAACAAGACTTTCATTACAAAAACAAAGTAAATATTGGGTCTAATTGTTGCTCATCACCATCAGTACGCCCACAGGCACACACAAAGATAAATACCAGAGTGGGCACATTACTGCACTTCACTTACCTACTGATAACCTCTCTTCTTCATCCACTTTAACAGGAAGAACGTTATTTTGGGTGACTTTTAAGAGAGATGATGATGGGCTATAATTTGTATCCTGTGACTGAGTTGACTCTGTTTCAACAGACCTAATAACTGGAGCGTCCTCAAATGTTGGAGTTGACCTATATGTAGAGTGTTCATCTGGAGGGGTCGCATCAAATAGAGATAACTTTGACAGGGTTTCTGAAGCCACAGCACTTATTTGTGATTGAGCTGGTTCCAAGTATTTTGCTGGTGAGTGTGCACTTGTAGTCTTAGGGGACAAAGGCAACTGGAGTTGATTATCTGATAGAAGAGATTCTGGGTCACATAAGAAATACTGGGATTCCTTTGGGGACATCAGATTGCTTCTTGGTGATTCACAAATCTTTGGGGAGGAAATAGGCTCTACAAATAACCGGGAAGATTGGGGTTGATCTGGCAAGAGAGCTGAGTCCGAGCATTTCTCTAATGGGGCCGGATGGTTCACTTTGGGCAATAAGGTTGAGTCAGTAGAGCTGGATGATGAAACTGTGAAAGTAGACCTAAGGGGAAATGATATGGATGGAGGAGGGGAGAGATGCTCATCTGAGATTGGCGACCTGCTACTAGTCGTAACTGAAACATCAGCTGAAGATTTGGGAGTTTTAAGCTGGGAATGTGGTAACAAGGAGATATGTTGTGGTGCTCCACAGTCAGCTGTTGATTGGGGAGATTGGCGAGGTGACTTTGCAGGTGATGTCTTGATTGACGACTCTGAAACTGTTGGATTCTCAGCAGTGGGGCATGTTGACAGCTTGCTTTTAGATAGATGTGCTGTGTAAAAGATACAAATAACATTCAGTGCATTGGTTGCTTTTGTAAGCATGAGTTCAGATAATGTTTCATAAGCATGGCTTAAAGAAAAAAAGGTTGTTAAGGATTTTCAGACAGACCAGAATCACTATGCTTGAATGCAGAGCTCCAGTCACTTTTCTTGTTCTCCTTACTTTACTAGATCAGTGTATTAATATTTATGCACCACTTCCAAATTGCACAAGTCTGAACTGCAGCATTAATGGACATATACAAACAAAGAAACACCTGAGAAAACAGAATTCCAATAATCTGCACAGGCTTTTGGCTGACATGGACAAAGATTTTAACAAGAGAGACCCTGTCCACATTCAGGAGCGCAGGGAATGTGTGGAGAGGGTTTGCAGAGAGAGAAAGAGTATCACAGACAGCAGCGGGCCACGCATATGACAATATGAGGGAATATACAGGAGGCTGTGAAAAACCTCAGTGCAGTTTTGAAACAGATGTCCTTTTTTTCTCTGCCATCACAGCCACATTGCAACACAACAGAGTGTTACTGCAATCCCCTACTGCCTAATACCTGGGGAACTGCAGATGTACTATGCTTTCCTTTCTATGTATGTCTATGTATGTGTGTCAGAACTGAATAAAGTGAGAAATATTAATGTAAAAGTGACCTACATCTAAAAGAAAACTTGCTGGCTTCTACAGTCTGATACAGATTAAAAAAAGCATGTCATTTACTCTTTCGCTGCAAAATAGAGAGCTCACATTTAATCGAGGGCCCAGCTTGTGATGTCTGAGGCTTAGATGGTTTGAGCTTCTGAACTAGTCTGGACTGTAGTGGTGCAACAGGCGAAGAAGGGCCGACTCTTAAGGATCCATCATTTAGTAGGGCTGTTTTGGGCACCACCGAGTTTCCTTTCTGTGAAATCCACTGAACAGTATGGACCCTGAGTGATGAATAGAGAAAATTTGTGAATCTATGTCCATTTTTAAAAGTCAATCAGAGAGACACAAACAGCACTCATATGTTTTAATAATTAAATAATTAACATTTTTGCAAAAACCTTAATTGACTTTGCTCAAGTGTTTCCTGTTACATGTTGTGTAATGATATTCCTGCTAGTAAATTAACAGTTAAGGCCTTTACACACCAGACGTGTAAAATCTGTAAAAATATTTCATGAAATAAATATTTCATGCGTTAAATGCAGCTGTTCACAGCAAGCACATAAATTCACTTGACGAATCTGTACCATTTCCGTTTTTTGTATTTTTCTGATCAAAACAATCAGATCTGAACAATCAGACTACTGCATTTGGCAACAAGCGCACTTTTGACTTTAAAACACACAACAGTACTGCATATAGAATAATATAGAAGTAAAAAATATACTATTTTACCTCAGACACACAGCTGGACATGCTCCAGGTCAATCGGCTCTCTTAAATGCTTTCTCTCCCTCAGACTTGCACACAACTCTAACTAACAAGAGTTCAAACTGCACCACTGACATCCTGAAAATCTTGAATGCAGCAGTGATACAGCTTCAACTCCTGGATCAAACCATGAAATTCTGCCCGCTGCTGCCTTCTCCTGAGAATTGTATGAACCCAGTATCTCTTTTTCTTCCTTTTCTAGTTTAAAAACATCAGGACCTGCTCATCATCGCTTGATGTTGGTTTCATTTTCTTTCCGTGTGTTTTCTGAGGACGAATTTGTTGTAAAAACTCTGATACACGTTACAAGGTAAACTCGGCTCCAGAAAATTCCGAATTTCGTGTTGTTTTTTCGCAAAACGCGCTACAGTAGATGTGTAACGACCTTTACTGTCACAATCTTTGATGACTTCTATCAGCTTCCACAACATTTTCATTTTTAGCCATCCAAACAATGCTTCTGTACTACAATGTATTTAATAAACATTTACAACAAGTTGATAACTAACCGACCAATAACATTTACAAAATAATTAGTAAGCTTAAACAACTATTATTTAGTAATGATGGTTCCTGTAGAATGTTACATTTTCTTTTTTTTCTTTGAGCCTTACTCTGTGCTGTTGTCTGCCTTCTTTTCAGCAGCACTGAGTCCCCTCCTGTCTCTGCTTGTCTGTGGACAACAAATGAGATCAGTGTTGTGACACATGATTTAGACGGGAAAAAAAGAGAAAGAACAAATATGTTAGTGTTGTAAAGTCATGTGCACAGGTGTTGAGTTTTTGTCATTATTTTTCCTTGTTTGTCATGTGTAGACGTGGTCACTGAGGTGTAATCCTTTAAAATAAAATACTCCAGTTATTCTCACCTCATCCAGGACTTCAATGCGGAGGCATGACTCAGGTGTAGTAACCTGTGGCTCAGGTCCACCCATGCTGACAGGGACAGCAAACAGTGATGCACAGTAGTGGCGAAAATCCTCCTCCTCAGCTACGCACACACACACAATCAAAAGAAAACAAAAAGAGACAGAGCCGTGCTTTCTGATATGTTGTTGATGGTGTGACCTGAAGAATCAGTTGCTTTTCTTTCTGCTTTGTTACAGCTTGTACTTTTTACTTATAAAGCTACTTCTAGATGAACATAAATATAAAAGGTGATTTTTTTTCTGTACTAGTAGATTTCTAGTCACTTAAAGTGCAAGCCATTTATTATTCATCATTTGCACTGACAGAGAATTTACTATTAAATGTACAGATTATCTTAAGCATCGGTTACAGACCAGGCCAAAACTCAACTCCCAGCCATAGGCATAAAGAAGTATCATCAGCAACGTGTTGATGAATGTGCCATGATAACCTGATACCAGCATTTCTTTTCTAATCTCTTCCTACATGTAAAGGAGGCCACAGTGATACAGGTGAACACTTAGGTCTTCCTATGTTGCTGACACAGCAGGAGCTGAGTAATGCTCTCACTGCTAAGGAAACTACTTTCCCATTCAAAAAATTACACCAGACATTTGTAATAGTCTACTATCTCTGGGACAGGTTTTAATGTCAAGCAAATATTTACAAGCTATTACCGTTTATATGGCTATTTATGCAACATACAAAACAGTATACCATGTTATACTGTTATCCTATCATGACCAACACAATTGGCACATGAATATACATGAAATTTCCTTTTCTATCAGTTAATTTGCCATTCTTTCACTCTTGCTAATGATGCTGTTCTGCCTTCTTCTTCTCTCCCTCACTAACAATCCTTCTATCACATCACCACATGGGTTTGACAGCTCACGAAAATGAGAATTTAAAAGAAGGGGGCGCTCCCAACATGCCGCCAGAAAACAGCTTTTATTATTCATGGACACACACAATGCCCTCCCTTTTATATTCAAAGACAGGAGAGGAGGAGAGATTCTCCAACCTGTTGTAATTTGCATGCATTAGAAAAGTTTGAAGCAGGTGGAAGGAATAGTTTATCAGCTGCTAAACAGCTCGACATTTCCCAAAAAAGAAAAGGAGAAAAAACACTGCTGTCTTCCTCACATCTGCATATAACCAAAACAAAGTATTAATTATTAAATTGTGAGTAGAGAAATGAAAGCTGTAGTATGAATAACTGTGTTATTATTATAATAACTGTTTTATATTATAAAAGGAGTTAGAATATAATTAGCACTTCACTGATTTGAGAGTATGGAGATGATGAAGGAATAATGAGTTGTTTGACTCTCTATTACAAGCAGGTAAGAGCTGTAAATAAATGTGCAAATCTAAGTCTATCAATATGTAAGTGTAGATCTTGAAAGCTCTGTATCATTTCCTACAACAGCGCATCAAAACAAAATAAAGTTTACTTAAGAACAGTCCTGTAAAATAAGTGCATGTATTTTCACATCAATAACTCCAGTTGACTAACATTTACATGGCATTCAATTGAAATCTGAGGGCAAAGACATTCAGGAAGAAAAAGCTTTTTAAAACGTCATTTTGGGCAAAGTCTACAAAATACTTGTGGTCGAAACGACCACTGAAATTAACCCTTTCATGCATGAATTATGGCAACCTCAATTAGGACTTTTTATTCATCTTTAGGCATGAACAAAAAAGATTTTTGAACTTCATTTTTTAAACATGGACTTTTCAAAGAGTTTTTTACATGTCCACTTAGGTGGGTGAGTGGGTGGCAGGGTATGGAGTGATACATCAGTGTCAGATGTAGTGGTTTATGTGCATGTTTACCATCAACACTGTCACAAATACAAGAACAGCCTTTGAATAGCTGTCCACTGTAGTGACCACTATGCGTGAAAGGGTTAAAGCTTATCTAAAGTAAAATGTATATACGCTGTTTCAAAAGTCCTAGAATCATATCAAGATGGCTAAAAGGCTGCCAGACATGTTTCTAGAAGGTCTTTGGCTTTAATGTGCAGTTTTGTTGAGGCATAACTGAGTTTGTATTGGTTTATTATGATTTCATACATTCAATAAAGGGATATGCAGTCAATGCTATTCTTTTATATGAAAATTATCAACTATTTGGCTTCATTTTTGATTAAAAAAGCACAAAAAAGTGAGCTCTGGGATAAAGGAGGTTAAGAAACCTTCTGTTTGGGAAGTTTATTCAAGGGCAAATAGACAATTTGTAGCCACAGTTAAAACCACTTGGATACAGTGGTGTAATCCTCTTTAAAATAAACAACTAAACTCTCAGGGTCATAAACACCAAGACCTGACCTGGTCCTCTAATAGCTTTCTAAGCATTATAAAGTAAGGGCAGTTCCTGTCTAGCAACAAATAAGGTGTGCAATCAGGTTCTCCTTCAAAATAAATTGTTCTGGGTTATTTTGATAGTAAGAATGTACGTTGTTGTAAGAATCACTATGTGGGCACAGCAGAGAGATGCTGACATATTTATTTCTGAAATGCACTCTTGTTATTAAACACATTTAAAGAGAATTTGAGTCACTTTTTCTTATCAATCATTACTGCTGTAAACACAGGAAATTTTGACTGAAGAAAGATTTGAGATAGACAGCTATTCGGAAAGGGGGGAAAGCAAGGACTAGCAGATCCTAACAAGGTCAGGTTTAGAGTGAATCTTGATTGATATGATGAGAGGCAGTTGACAGCCTCTGAGTCCAGAGGTTTGGAAGGGGAGAGTTAATCTTGGTATATGTCTCCTTTCAGCCTCAGCTGGGGGCAAAAAGTCAGGACACTAGTACTGACTGATGAGCTCCAGATCGTGTGCTCCACACTACAGGCTGACTTCCCCCTCACCCCATTCCTTACCCTGTCAGGCTTGAGACACCTCTAACAGCCCTCTGCCCACACAATCACAGCCAGTGATTACCCGTCACAGTGCCACAGTTGGATGGGCAGGTACTGATACGTCTGACCCATTGAGAGGGAAAGATTTTGCCATTGTGTGTTTCTGTATAAGTGTGTGTTTGGAGTGTGTGTAGATTTGCACTTGTGTTATCTGTCAAACTACTCAGTCCTGAGCTGTTTATTTGTTTGGTAGAGAGCCTGGTTCTGGGATGTATTTCAGAAAAGTGATGTGTACAGCAGAAAATACACAATTCTGAACATAGTATGATTGTGTTCCTCATTTGTTTGTCAAAAGATGTTCATAGGCTTACAGATGTACTTCTTTATGCAGTTACATATTAGCATGTGTATTACCATTAATACTGCTGGGAGTCTCCTCAGCGGTTGTAGCAGGCAGACATTTTTGATCTGCAGAGACGGCCTGAGATGATGGGTATATTTCAACTGGTGTTCTGAAAACACAGAAATCATATTTAGAACAGTGAATAAGGATAGACCCCAGCCAGAAAAAGTAATTTAAGTAACAATTTAAGTAACTTATTAAGTGTCATGTTTTCCTCTTTCCCTTTATCACCTCATTCTGTTCCTGCATGATTGACAGATGCATACCTACATATGTCCAACACACTATTCCCTTATGTTTTGTGAAATCAGCCTGCTGCATTCTGATTTTTTTTAAAAAAGGAAAAAAGAAAGAAAGGAAAAAACACACACTAATACCCCAACTTCCCACTGCAGGAAATGTGCGGCAGACTTTGTAGATTACTTTATTTAATCCTGAACACTGTTTGCCTCTCCTTAGTCCTCCATGGACCAAGCTAGCTCTCTTCTTCTTGCAAACAGTACAGTACTTCACATGATGTAGCCTCACTTACTAGCCTTAGGCTGTTTGCACATTTAAGCTTTCGCTAGAGAGCAGTAAAAAAATAAAAAATAAAGATAGAGGAGAAAACCTTCAACCAAGTGATCAGCAGTGACCAGCCCTGATAAAGTGTTCCTGCAGATGATCTCTAAAAATGATTTTCTCTTTTTTTATGTATGAACTAATAATCTAATGGTTTTGTCATTATCACCCTATTTTAAATTATACAAAATAAGAAAGCCTGGACCAAACTGCCTGATGGTGCATAAAGATAATATGGTGTATGAAATATTTCTTTTTCTTTTGTACTTTGACAATGTAAAAGTGCTTTAAAGCTACTTTTTGGGATTGCAATAAATCTTACATCAAGCCAGGCTCAGGTCTTAAATTTTGCAATCATCTAGCACAGTTAAACCAGCCAGTAAATGCAGGTGAGGGTCAGTTCAGATGTCAGTTCTATATAAGCCTGTGCAGACTTTTATTTCAGGGTTCAGTGCTTTGATCACAGATACTTTGACTCTGGCAGCTGATGGAAGAACGAGCATTCACTTACCCTGACCACACCGCCTAGCCAGCTCAGGAAATCAAACTGACGCACCCCCCCGGTCACAAGCTTGCTTTCTGTAACCTGCAGGCCATGCACAAATCTACCAAGATGGTAGAGTTATGACTCTAATATAGCTGAGCACTTCTAGTGAATTCTTTAAAGCTCTTTCCACCACTAAACTCCTTCCTTCCTTCAGTCTTTTTCCCATTATTATTGAAGCTTGTTAAAATTCAACCTCGACTTTCTTTCTACCAGCCAGTCTCTTTGTCTCTCCATTAAGCTCTGCCACCATCACCGCTGCAGGCTTATTGCACTCTAGATTGGCTCTCTGGTCTATTCCACAGTTAAAGGCTGCTACAGCTGGGGACTTAGAGCGTTCCTGCTCAGGCAGTCGGAGGGCCCGAAACTGCACTCTTCTTGCCTCATCCCTGACCTGCTCTCCAGTGGACTACTCAGCCCAAAAAGAAGCTGGTTAAATAAAGGCTGTAATAATGGGACCTGCTGAAGCCAAGCCTGCAGGCGGTGTACTGCACAATAAGTAGTAAGAAACTGCTCTATACACTGGTGACTGATATCGGCTGGTTATGAAGACCACAGAGAAGCAAGAGAAACAAGTTCCGTGGTAACAAAAAGTATCATAACAAATCTATGTATGTGTGTGTTTGTGCACAGCGTGGTATACCTCTGACCCCTTACTGGAGGCAGCAAGAAACTAAGGGTGTATATGATGCTACAAGGACAAGTTGACGTAAAACCTCGATCGTGTGGTTGTATCTGCGTAACAGAGATGTCATCAGATACATGTGAGACATCTATCTGGTGACAATGATACGTCGGTACCATAGGTATCATAGGCAGCACATGTACCAAGTAGCTTAGTTATAAAATTTATACTCTGCTATTAATTAATACTTAGATTTACTACTGCATTGATTCATTTGCAACAGCCTTGAAACCAACAGTGCTGTCTTCAGGTCCTCTAGTCGACAAAACATTTTCACACAGCACAGCTGCAGACAGGCAGGAACAAAGCCATAAACACATGAACAGCAGCACAACACACTTGGCAAAGCATCTTAAAAACCAGCACCCCAGCCATTATGAAGAATTTTGTGAGGAACACTGAAGTAGTTATAAGCGGTTATAACTGTTAACCTGGCTGCTGCACACATTAATCTAACCTAACTATTAGCAATTACCCAATAATCACACTAGCCATCTGTTATCACTAAGGTAGCAGTAAGCAGCTATGGCTAATAAAATGATAACCTTCATGTTGGAGCTAGGCAGCAGACATTATTGATCCTGCCTGCCTGTAATGTTATTAGACACCGTTAATTTAAAAAAAGAAAGAAAAGGGGAGAGAGAGAAAGAAGGCGTGCAGTTTTGAACAAATTCAGCACAAAAGCCTAAATTTTTTCCTAAAATAGACAAAGAATGCTAAGGTAGTGTGAGCATCTTAAGCTTCATTTTACTGATCTAAATATGATCAACTAAACAAACATCTGACACATTAATAACAACGTTTGGCCTACACAAAACGCCAAAATACCATTTAGCCATTATTTAAGGAAAAGTCACAGCAGTTGGTTATAGCATTAAAAGTTGTTGCCAAATACACGATAACATAAATAAATCAAAACCAAAACTTTGAGCTGATACTGCTTTTAAAGCTCTTAATCATTCTAAACAATAAAGCATTTGCAAGGAATAACGAACAGGGGAGAAGCATAACTTTTCACTGAACCTACTGCCTGAAGCTCATGACAGAAGCCTCAACATGGTTTGGAATATTAACTATATGTGTGATGCATGCACATTTCTATCTGTACCTCCGGTGCTTCTTGAGCAGCAATCTGTCCATGTAGGTAAGGCTGTTTTTTGTGAACTTCACCTTGACAGGAACCCTCTCTCCCCCCCCTCCTCTTCTTTGTCCTTCAGCTTCTCTGTCTGGAGGGAGGGCAGTCTGGGTCGCCATAGCTGACACTGATACTGGAGGGAAATGGGGAGAGGGACATCAAACAAAAATAAAGTTAAGATGTAAGAGGTGGAAAAAAATGCCCCAAAGGAAAAAAGATTCAGAAAGGTAGAATAGGTAGCAGGAAAACATAATCCGGCAGCTTCTCAACACACTCCCCTCAAAAAGTGAGAAAACACCTTGTCACCATGCCAAAAGTGCCAAAACACAAACAGACAGGAGAGAGCCCTGTGGGAATAAGAAAAAAGATGTATGAAATACTAAAGGAACATAGTGAGCGCATGAGAGAAAATAAAAGATAGAAATAAGAAGGAGACATGTTATGATTGTACTCCAGACACTTTGGCAGTCCTCAGTGGAAGCTTTAAATTGGGCCTGGGTGCCATTGGCCTGACAGAAATAATTAGGGCTGGAGGGGCTAGTAGCAATTTGCAGAGCAGAGCGAAAGGAGAGAGGAGCAGAGTCTGTTCACGCAGTAAAGCAGAGAAAATAGGAGGTCTAATAAAAAGCACAAACACCTAGACACATATACAGAACCTGGAATAATAGTGCTAATAATACACACCCGCATAAACCTGAGCGCACAAACATTATTGCAGATGCAGATACACAATATCTGCGAAAAGACACAAAATTGCCTGGAACACTTGCGCGTGTACACATACACATACACAAAGCTGAGGCGATTAGTGCTGTGGTGTGGAGTAGGGCACCCCTAACACTCCTCTCATTATCTCAATATGCAACAGCCATGGATTACCCTCCTACTGCAGTGGTAAGCACTTTCTGTAAGACCAGATCAGAGCAGATACAGGGAGAGGGAAAGCAGGAAAACTGAGAAGTAGGTGAAAATGCAAAGGAAGGAAAGAGAAAGAGCTGAGAAAAAAATATATTTGTTGGTAAAAGCTGAATACAAATGTAAGTGTATACATTAATCTGATAGCCGTAGTTAGACACTGCAGCTTGGTAGTGAAGCTATACAGTGCTCCACATACATTCTATTCCACTCCACTGCAGGAAGTGTGTGTTGCAGGAGCAACTAGCTACAAGTCACTGCGACGGAATGGAGGCTGGAAGTTTGATACCGACAGATGGTGTGCCATGGGTGTGACAGATTACAAATCAAAACCGAGCTGGTCTCAACTTTTTTCCATCAAGCACCAAACATCATATGCTTCCATGTTCATACACACACACACACACACACACACACACACACACACACACACACACACACACACACACACACAAGCTCAGCAGTGAAGGCAGATAGGATGAACATGGCATTAATCTTCAAACAACCACTTTTCATGATAAAAAAAAACCCCATAATTTTCTTTAGCATTTAAGCACTTTTAAAGAGCACTCTGGCTTTTAAATTAATGCAGAAATGAAGTTTGCTACTTTTCAATCCTCAACTAACTTTCAGCACAGTATTCGAGCCCAGCAATAGATTGACAAGAGTGGAAAGTGAGGAGGTGGTACTAGAGAAGAAGAAATAGAATAGATACAAGGTATGGTCCAGTGCAAACCAACTCAAATGCCCTCCAGCAGATCACCTATCCTCTGGTACAACAGAGTTTTAATAACGTAAAGGATTGTTTTTTCATCCGTGGAGAGAGGTTCAAGCCAGGGCTAAAGAAAAATCTTGGGTCCCAAAAATAATAACTGAGAATAAAAATACTCATTCAAATCCACTTCAAATATCTTTAAGGAGCTGTAAAATGCCATTTATTTCTAGAAATTCAAGTCCCCTTCTATCAAAAGTGATATTTTACAGTTGACGCTGATGCTGGATGAACAACCTGTTGTGAATCTAACGCTAATGAGATGCAGTTTTAGAAAACAAAACTAGTACAAAAGCAAATAGGAAGCAATCAAAACATAGGAGCAGTGGAACGCTGCACCCATTAGTTAAAGCTCCTAGTGTTTCCCAGTTATACCCAAGATGTCACATTCACATAAAAGGTAAGCATAATTTTTGATATGCAGGTGATGTGTACAATATTTTACAACCAACATCTTTCCCACTTTGTCTGTGTAGGTTCTCAGTCATTCAGGGCATGGTGGTACAAAGAGCTTGGAAACAAGGTGCCTGGAAGTCCAAAGTTAAAGAAGTCCATTCACTTTGTTTCCAAGACTGAATCCAGTTGACTGCAATGTGAATACAGACTGTATGAATTAGATGGCAATTATTTGCAAACCCTTAACAGTCTGTTTGAGAGTCACTGCAGTCTGTCCAAGTCAAAATACCACTGTTTGAATTTACAGTCACCAGTTGACCTAACATTAGTCTAACAAGCATGCATTCGGACCTTGGGTGGAAGCTGATACACCCAAAGTAAATCCACAGGTACAGGGAGCATATACTAACTCCACACAGAAAGGAACCAGAGACGACCTTGCTGAAAGGTGAGAGTGCTAGTCAGTGGCAGCCATTCCAAGACTGTGAATTACAAACAAAAACTGCTTTGAAATTGAAAAACAAACAAACAATAAAAGATAAGTATTATGTTCTCATTATCATTAGTGTCAAAACACTGGGTAAATTTAATCAGTTCAATTTAGTGTACCTGGTCTGGCAGGTATCCAGACTCCATCATTCTTCCCCCTCCATAATTTGAGCGCCTCCTGGAAAGATCTTGCAGACTCCTCCTCATTGTACTCTCCTTTAAGGAGTGAGGGTAGAAATCCTTTGTTATCATCTTCAGTGATTCCCACCTTTTTCTCCTCTCCATGACTCCTAACTAACATCTGCAATAGAAGAGTTGTTTCATCAATGTACTTACAGGGATTGATGGCAAACAGTGTGATGTAAGGGTAAGAAGCACCCTCGTGCATGATAAGACTCCTACTGATAAAGGTTAGTGTTAGTGTTAGCACAAATCAAATACTACTCACAAAAAACTGTTTTTCTGATATCCTAACATAGCAAATATAATCAGAATGATGGTGCTAAACCTTTCAGGGCTTTTTTTGATGACTGCAATTTAATGAAGGGGGTCAGTTAATGAGTTTTTGTGTGCTGCAGGAACTGACCTGTATTCATATTCTAAAGGCAAAGACAAGCAAAACCTAAAATATGCATATGTACGAGTGTGGCTGTAACCTTGGCAATACCCTTGTTGATGCATCATTTTAGTGGCAACAGGAACTCTTTATCTATCTTTATATTAGACCTCTAAATATAAAGTCAACTGAAATAAGGCTGAAAATAGAAACTGTTCCTCATAGTAAAGTTCATTTGAGGTAAAAGAACAATGATTGTTGTACACACATATCACAGTGACTAACAAAAGTCAGTAAGCGTTCGGCAGTTGGAAACCAAACAAAACAAATCTGCTTAAACTCCCATAGATGAGTTGGTAGATATTTTTTTGCTTTTGTTTTTGTTCTCTGCCATGAAATCTTATTTCCTGTGTAGCTCTGATTTCCCTGACACAGCAGCTTTTGTGCTGGTAAGATGCAACATGTTCAACTTATCATTCCTGAATCAACTTCTGATCTTTGCTCTAGGTGTAAAAAAGAAACAGATGGCTTTATCCACATGTTTTAGACACGCAATAAACTAAAAGATTACTGGTGCTCAATAAGAGAGGATATACAGGACTGTCAGATGTGAGATACCCTCTTCACCTAGATTAGCCCTTTTAGAGGACATATCTGATGTCCCCCCCTGTCAAAAGAAACCAGGCACAGTATATCAAACCAGCCATGACTGCTGGCAATATTCGTATTTCTCTCCTATGAAAAAGTTCAGACCCCACCTTCATCTCCATGTCGCTTCATTTAATCTCCAAAGAAAAAGACATCTTTTTGACAAATGCTGGTCTGATTTCAGGCACTACATTCATAATAGATTGCTGTCTTTGTTGGGTTTATATGTTTGTTTTCTACAAATGTAAATTTCTGTGTAAGTATTGTCAAATTCATGAGTTAAATCTATCTAACTTTTTATAGCTGAATAACTGTACTCTTTTCTGTGTTGGTGATGTAACATTTATTTATTCATTCGCATACAGTACGTATATTTGACTGTTTTTAGTTTTTCTCCTGCCTTAGAAATTATTGATTCCAGTATAGTTCTTGTCTGGTAGTGAGTGGGAGTGGGACTGGGCTTAAGGGACTGTTTTTGTTTTATTATGTTTTATTGAGTCTTGCTTAACTTATCTTTTTTTAATCGTCACTGATGTTGGAATATTTTATTTCTACTTTATTTTTGTAAATGGCCTAATGTTTCGGGGAAAAAATGTAATAAACATAGTCAAAACAAAGAAAAAAATCATTACTGAAGGTGTTGCCATGGTTTTGCTTGGAAAAAATGTGTGGTTACTTTTGTTTAATCTGTTGGAGATTTTCATTCACTTCCATCTTTTCTGAATAGCTTTGTGGTGCTGAAAGCAAGCCTGACACTGTGTTTGTGTCCTTGTTTAAGTGGGTATTAACTGTTTCCTTGATGTGTGTTATTATTTTTTATTGCCATTCTTTCTATTCTTATGCTCTTATGCGAAATGGCTGCACTGAACTATAAGCATAAAAATTGTTTAATGAGTGCTCTTATTTTTTCTATTAAGAGATACTTATATTTACATCTGAAATGGGGCGGGGGAGGGGGGGGGATTTGGACATTAGCTTACAATTTAGTGGATCATTTAATGAGTAGTTAATACAATTGCAGCCTACAACCAGCCCCTTAGATGTGATATTAAAAAAATAAACAGTAGCTGTCTTTTGGCGGGGATAAAATGTTTAATAAATTTTGCACACAAAGGCAGCCGTCGTTTTTATTTTGTTGCAGTTGTTGCTGTTTTTAAATCATACTGCATTCTGGGTAATGATGTCAAATATTTGTACCAGTCTTGGTCACAGTCTCTGGATCCTCTAGGAAGGCAAACATGTAATGTCTCCAAGAACCTCTTTTTAAGCCCAAGCACAACCTAACTGAGCAGGAAAGCTTAACTGCCATTATCAGAGATGTGCATTAAAATGACAACTATGATAGAAGGGACGAGGCAGCTGTCTGACTTTTTAATCCAAGTCAGTGTTGTTTTCACACACAAACACAATCCATAATATTGACTCACACACTTCGCCTGGCCACTGTCTACCTTCATCCAATATGTCTGTATCCAGCTAAGTAGCTGCATCACTCTTAGCTGAAGAACAACATGCACTTTTTTGCTGAGCTGGTGACACTGTTGGTTGTCAGGTTCCTGCTGACTGTTGGTTCACTTTCAGACAAAGCGACCACCATAATGAACAGTTTGCTGCTTAGTGGAAAACAGAGGTGGGAAGTAACAAGTACAAATACTTCACTACTGTAGTTAAGTAGAATTTTAAGGTATCTGTACTATACCCATTTTTAAACAAATATTTGTACTTTCTACTCCTTTTCAAAGCAGACTCATTACGTTAGGTTTAATTTTTCACGTCACTGCAGGCCATCAAACATCAAGCCGATTTGGGCCTAAACAGTACAGCATGAAAGGCTATCGTGTTCATGTATTTATCACCAGAGGGATGTCACATAAAAAAGATTAATGAGGCAAAACTGTGTAGCATAGTTGGAGATTACAGTGGGCTGGTGTTTTGTTTTTGTTTCCTTCTTCTTCTGTTATTGAACACAACACCGGAACAACTGCAGGTGTCCATAAATTGTGGTTGTGGTACTTCAGCAAGCGTAGTTAAACGTGTCGCCGTACTCCTTTCTATGCCTGTGTAAAGCACCCTGTGTGTTGGATGTATCAAAACTTGTTTCCACCACTGAAAAAAAAATCCATAAGTCAACATTTTCATGTTGTTATTTTTTTTCAATTCTGAGTTTTGTTTTTTCTTTTCTTTTCAGTAATGGAAATTAGCTTTCATAGAACTACACAAATTAACTGACCTTTACTTGCTCTCTGACAGCATTTAGACTCCTTATCAAAGTGCATTTTAGGCACACTTGGTTTTGGTTATCACATCTTTATGGCTTTAACTAAACTAATGCATCAAATACAACAAGCCTTACTCCACCAGGGGCCTGTTCTTCGTACCGCGCTAAGTGAGTTAGCTGGATGAGATTGTTGACGATTTCGCGTGATCCAGGATCGTTCGGTTCCCCGAAGCCCATCCGGGACTTGCTGTCATAGCAACAGAGCCGTAAGCGTAAACCTGCTGGGAGCAGGTTTACTTTATGTAAACAGGATTAGATCGCGGCCACGCAGGTATCCGCTTCATTTATACGAAAGCAACAGCGATATTCCACCACTGTTTCACCATAAATAAATAACATCAATGTAACTAAAGATAATGCAGCACCTGATCCATTTATTGATTTCACACAGATACATACAGGTCATTTCCTAAAAAAGGGAAATGTACTATTAACATTCTATTACATGTATGTGATTATTACAGATGTAATTCATATTTCAGAGTAGTCAATTGCAAATTACTTTCGTGTAATCAAGATGAGAGACCACGGCTATAAAAGCGAAGGTGGATTTGGGAAGCCTGTCGCAGCCATGTCCTGTCCGTATACGCGAGCACCTTGCGGAAGGTGCAAGATTGATAAGGAGAGTCCTCAGAATTCAGCGTATATTGCGGGATAGACAGGATCCTTTAGCTCAGCGCGACAGTGTGCTCATAGAGAGATATCGATTTTCCCGTGAGGGTATTATTTACTTAACCAACTTGTTGACGAGGGGGTGCAGGACCACCACCTGTCTTTTTTTGCTCTGCCCTTTTCTTGGTTGCTGTTATAAACAAACAGATTATTTCAGGGTCTCTTTCCAAGAGACTAAAAGCAATATAAGTGATAAATATTACCATTCTGTAGAATATTCCTATATTTCACTTTTACCTGTTCCCATGTTCTAGTGGGTCCTGTTGTGGCTCTAATGTGAAAGGGGATATAATATAACATATTATAATATAATGTAATATAATATTGGATAATATAGTGTAATATAATAAATCTACCCTACCGCCTACTGGTGTTGGCCAGAGGGGCCGATGGCGCGATATGGCAGCCTGGCTTCTGTCAGTCTGCCCCAGGGCAGCTGTGGCTACAACCGTAGCTGCCTCCACCAGTGTGTGAATGTGAGAGTGACTGAATAGTGGCATTGTAAAGCGCTTTGGGTGCCTTGAAAAGCGCTATATCAATCCACTCCATTATTATTGTTCTTATTAAATTACTTACGAGTTTAATTTGTCAGCAACTTTCTGCCAGCCCTCTCTCCTTGCTTTTGCAGCCTTTGCAGTGTTCCCTTGCGTTTTAATTAAACTCTGAAACTCCTGAAATCCCTCACTCAAGAGTTCTTGCTCTGCTGCCGAAAATACCGAGCGACGCGCCCTGTCGACATTTTCGCCGACCAATCAGAGGGTTGCCGATCAATGTTTCTACTATCGATGCGTAGCCCCTTTTACGACACCCAGTGATGTCACATTACTGCGTCCAGCTGTACTAATCGTCAACAGCAGGTGTGTTCGGGGAACCGGATTAGCGCGCTCACGGTTAGCGCGATGGTTTGGTCTTGGATGTTTCATTTGATCTTGGATGTAGTGAGCGACGTACGAAGCACAGGGCCCAGGACTTTCCTGCTTCTTTCTCCTCTTCCTATTGACAAGAAAGCTGTGAAGACTAAAATCAACCCTCTTCTTTCCTTTGGACTGGTAATCACAATCAAAAGCAGCACAATGTGACATTTCTTTTTCATAATTTATAATGGCGACCTTGTAATGATCGCTCTGGAGTGCCATTAATTTACCCTAAGTGCACTGCACACACAAAGTAATGGTGTCTTTCATAGGTCAAAATATGGATTATAAATTCAGGATTTTTCAAACAATGAAAATATGTGTTTATAACAGCCTAGATGAGTTTCAGGAGAGTAAATGTACACCTTGAGGCTCAAATGTTGAGTTCCTTTTAATAAAAATGACACATCAATTTTAAATATTCAGCCTATTACCAGAATTAAAAACATATTAAGTTATGTGTTAAGCAGGGAGGTTTCTATGTCTGTTGCTGCTCAGACTGGTGAAAATTTAAACCCTGTATATGAAGTTTTAACATATAAGTTGAACACTAGTTTGACATTCAAAGACATTTCCTCAGTACCTTCTGACCCCAGCTGTTCAAAATGACTGCTGTTTGAATAAGGTCAACTGAGCTCGGTGGTATAAAAAGTCTGAAATGTCAATCTAACTGTTCTTGCCAGACCTACACAGCTGGAGGGCATTTTTTAGTCCAAAGGTGCATGCAGTTCACCAGCCTGCCTGTAGATACAGCCTGTGGATATAGCGTCAATTAGAGTTTTTTTGAAGTCTTTTCAATTGACTCACAGTGTGCAGGGGTAAAATTTAACAGTGTTAAGGCTTGTCTGGTATGTCTGAATTAAATTTTCACAGCCGGTTAACTGCAGTAGAGAAGAAAATGTATTCAGTAATCAATGACCATTTGAAATGTTTTTACATACGTAAAAAGTAAATAAATAATTGTTGGTATAACAATTGGCAAAGCCCCATTATTAAGAATATCATTTAATCTCATATTTAGATTTTCTTTAAATAAAATGGATGGAAAACACGTTTAGTATAATTTAATTAGTTTTTATTATTCCCTAATTAAATAAATAATGAATAAAAATGACAAACCTCAAAAATTATGTGTGAAAGACAGAAGCTTTGTTTTAAAGAAAACATGGCTTTTCTTATACTTCTCGTTTTAAAGCCCTGGCCTTGTTATCTAGTCCAATATTGCATTTTTGTAAGTGTCATAGCTCATCTTACTGCAACATTTCAACATCCATTTAAGCTCTGCTTAATTTTTTGTCATCAAAAACTCAAGTAAGCAAAATTACTCAATGGACTGCCGTAGCAGTTCAAGTCTTTAATGCTGTATATTAGTTTGTTTAACACAGTGCTTAGCACAGTTAAGCACATGCATACTGTACAATATTTAACGTATTAAACAAGTCAATGCATCTCCACTTTGATCATGTGTACAACTAACTGAGTAGTTTAGAAGACTTCATAAACACTGAATATTTATATATCAATAAGTATTAAATGGTAGTTATTACTTACCTTGCCGCAGTCAGGATTTTCCTCAGCTTCTGTTCTTTTTTCTGGACTCTCATTTTGCTGTCTGGAACTGGGGGTAGTACCAGGATTGGGATTAGGACTGGTGCTATAGTAGGAGCTAGGGTCAGTCTGTTTCTTGAAGCTGTTGACAACATCTCGAGTGCTCACACGGGTCTGTAAGTCTGTCTGTAACAGAAGGCCATAGCATGTGAGACTAGATCACTATGTTGTTACTCATAAAAATGACAGAAACTAAATACTGCAAATAATATAGCAGATGAAAAAAAAATATTGCATTAGGACAAATGGGGACGAATTGATACATAAGCTATAGCATAAAATCATAAAAGAGGTACACAGCAAAATCTCCAGTGTTAAATTAACACTGGAGATTTTGCTGTGTATTTATAAATTAAAAGTAAATGTCAAGGTTATTAATTTCTGCACAAGGCCTATGAAAGTATGTTTAGCTAACCTGCATTTCTCTGAAATGTTTGTTTATAAATAGCTCGATCCCACTTGCGGGAAAAACAAGATCAGAGGCAAAGCTGTGCATTTTGTTGTAAAAAAGCCACAGGAGTGCAGAGGTAGACTCTTCAACAATGCTATTATCACAAAGATAAGAAATGTTGATCAGCAATAACAATGAACAGAAATTTATTAATAAATAAAGGTTGTACTTTCTTTACAATGAATGTCCTAAAAGTCAAACTGCAGACAACAGAGTGACAAATTTTCCAGAAATGAAAAAGGTGTTGAACAAATTTGATACACAGTAATGACAAAAAGTCAATGAGATGAGGGCTCTTTCGACAACTGCCACGAACCCCATTTAGAGGTTACAACCTAATCATTTTAAGTGCTCATACTTACATCACTGGCATAACCTTGAAAGTCACAACAATGAACTCCATTTTATATAGTTAATGTGTGCATCTTTATTTTATGTAAATTAATCCACAAAGAGCGTGGGCAGAAAGGGCGACATGTATAGACTGGAGAAGGACATGGAGCCTCAAACTGAGCATTGTGGCCATCGCTATCTTGTTTTTGCTGTGACATCAGTGGAAATACTATTAGGTCAAAGAAAGATATGAAGGAGAATTCTTAAGGAAATAAAAAAAGATCGTCTGACTTGGTGCTAGGCTGCTCAACTATGTGGTGGTAGATATTGTTGATATTGGACTGCTTTAGAGAAACTACAATGTTGTAAAGATGGACTAAAAAAGTCTATTTTAAATACACTGGCTCACTCTCGCTATGTTTATTCACCATGTTTGGTCAAAAATGTGTCTTCACTACTACATTTAGGATTATAGAAAAAAAGAATATATAGGCTTTAAATTGAAATGAAATGCTTGTCCACTGAGATTAGTGGACTTCATAGTATTTCCACTGATGTCACAGCCAAAACAAGATGGCGATGGCCAAAATGCTCCGTTTGAGGCAGTGAATGTAATAACCTGGGATCCAGCGTGAAACAAATCAGAAACACCCCTATGATTAAACAATAAGTAAGGAACATGACTACCCTGCCTGTGACAGGGTTAAATTGGTCTCACCCTGGAGCCAGATCTGTGCATGGTGCTCACAGGAGGGAGCCCAGTGGCTGGCAAAGCCAGAAGGTGGTATAGGGTTTAGGTGCTCTGTGTATCAGGCACAAATCAGGGGCAAAGGTCCTGACGAATCTTGCTTTAGAAACATGGAATGTATGTCATCTCTTCATTCAATATTGTATTCCATGACTAACCAAGGGTGCGAAGACTATAGACTTACATTTTGTCCTTAAGTAATACACCAACAAATGTGGAGTCAAGAAAACATTGAGGAACTGAAAGTTTTGTTAAAGCTACATAAGAGTTTTAGTCATTTTGATCATCTTTTCTGGCAATTATGGACAACAACTCATATTGGAGATATTGCTCACACTCGTTCTGTTGACATTTTTCATCACTGACTTTTTTAATGGAGATGTAACCACAAATTTCAACTGTGTTCATTATGTGCAATTTCGTTTGTGAGCTATGGTTTTGCTGCATTTTTGGAATTTAGAAAAGGTGGTAGACTGACAAGATGTAAGGAAACTTTTCCATGTATCCCTGTTGCACCACACCTGAATAAAATTAGTAGGTCATTGGCATGAGTATAGAACTTGACTGCATGATGAAGTGGCAACCCCTAACCATACTCGAGTAAATTTAAGTAAATTTAAGTGTTTGGAAAAATGTACTTCTTAAAGTACTTCTATTGCACCATGTTCATTCACTTATGCGCTGCTGTAACATGAATCAAATGGCTGAATTGCCACCTCAGCATGCAGTCAAGTTTTATAGAGTCTTGCTAATGACCTACTAATTGTATTCAGCGGTGTTGCAACAGGGACACATGGAAAAGTTGCAGGACACCAGCCCTCAAGGACCCCTGATGTAGAGCATTTTGTAAAAAAAAAAATGCATATCCATTTTTTTGGTCAGTGGGTGACACAAAAAGGAAACTGGCTAAGAGTATTTCGGCTCTATCAAAAGCTGTGTGAACTGGAAAGATGAAAGATTTACTTTCCTTACAAAAAGACCATGGTTTATGCACCAAATTGTTCTGTAATCTGTTTTTTTTTTTTGTTTATTTGTTTTTGTTTATATGTGGACAAACAATTAGGTGATTAAATCTCTTTTCAATAACTATATTCCCACTAACTCTGCTGTAGTATCTAATATTGTGAGTCCAGATAAAGAGATAAAGTCATATTTTGACAGAAAGCACACCTAGGGCCAGATTTACTAATGGTCTGTGTAAGACCATCTTCTGATGTTCCAAAGCTGCTGTATTTACTAAAGAAGCTCAGTGTCAATTTTGTGACTAAAGGGCATGGATATGGGTATTTTTATGGAAGCCATATTTTAGATGTATTCATTGGAGTTTTGCTTGTAGAACACAAGATTTGGGGAGGAGAGTCATTAAGTGAATCACATAAACTTAATTTACAAAATGTTCACAGCATGCAATTTACTGCGAATTGTATCGACTTAAAAACACAAAAAAACATGTTTTATTTTGCACCTAACATGGTTGTGATAGTTGTTGCTAGGAATGTTAATTTATTTGGAGTCAGAGACAGAGACGATATCAGAACAAGTGTGTAATTGGGTGGGTGTATCGCTCAAAGCTGTAAATGTGGTGCATATATCCTCAGGGGAAAATCTGTATTCCCCAACCACATGTTGACTGATTTCTGGAGTTTGCAGGCTGTCGTTGGATGAAATCAGTCACAAAGAGGGTGCTACACTAAAAAGCTTGTAGTGGTTTCTTTGGTTTCTAGCAGACTGCAACAGGACCCTGTAATATGCAACTATTCACTTACTCACTACTAGCTGAGCAGTAAAACTAAATCATAAAAGAAAAGGCATCATCTTCAAGGTAAAAAAAATGTATCTTATTGCTCAAACAACACACTTCCAAAAGCACAACTTTAACTGAAAGCAGACATACTCCATTTTTGGTTTGCATCACTCTTTTCATAGTTGCTGCTTAGAGAGTACTTTGCAAGGGTTTGCAGAAAAATCGAAATTTTCCATATAAACTTCAGGCAAACGCTGCAATCCACTAGTGGTCCAAGTGATCACAGGCAGGTTTTTGTTGCAGCACCATATAGCTTTTTGAAACCAATTTTAGCTAGCAACAGCAAGTAACTTCCTACACTGACAACAACTAGTCAGGGAATACCCATTTTTCACTGACCAATCACTGCTTGCCAGGGGTTGCTTACTGGTCTCTAAGGCGTGCGTAACTGGGGCTAAGAGAAACTGCCAGCACACTTTCCTTAGTGAAAAATGTCCAGTAGGTAATTTCCAGGAGCTTGCCAACTGGTCTCCAGACCTGTGTGACTGGACCCAAGCTTTGGCTCTGTTATATAGGTTTCACTACACCCTTGCCCCAAATGTTTAGGGTCAAGCTCCAAATATTACTTCCTCCTCAGTAGTATTGGTATTTTGATGAAATAGAGCACAGCTTCAGAGTGCAAGAATCCCAATACAAGACACATACAAGGATTTTTCTTGTTTTACAAGTAACCAATTTACCTTTTACAGTAACTAGAGTGATTTGCAGTGTTTCAGGTTTTCAGTCACATTCTCACACAGATTAGCACACATTGAAAATGTCTTGTGTCAATCTGTCTTTTCCCAGTAGTCTTCACACCCAGAGCAACTGCTTTTTTCCCCTTCAAACTGGCAGTTTATTGACAGACAGGCGTGAAGTGTGACAGATTAATGTCTGAATGTTACAAACCGGCTTCATATTACCTACACTGCCACACAGCCTGTTGGAAAAAATGAATAACACATGTACTTAAGCACCCGGCAATGTAACAGTTCATCCCTCACCCCTTTATTAACACAGGGATGGATCAGGATCTGATGTAATTAATGTGGTGTCTTTTTCTACATCTGTTACATACAGATTTCAGGTTTTTAATGGTGGGATTGTAATAACACAGATCTTCTTTTTGAGTTCTGCTGTAATCGAAACCACAAGATTTATCCAGGGAACAGATGTCTGCAGGGATCCCACACGCAAAGTTCCCAGCAATTTCAGACAGAAAAAAAATTGCTTTTATATTAAAAACACCTTCAGCTGCCTCTAATTAATCTGAAACACATCTGTAAATCCTGCACAGCATATTTTTTGGGTTAACAGACAACACTTCAATTCTGGTGATGGTCACGACTGAAATGAACTGATTGTGTCTTTATTTATAAATTAGTGCACTGTTCTTAGATCACTTACAGAACTGTTCTCACTGTACTGTTCTCTGTGCTCACTGGCACATTTTTAAGAACACAGCCTCATCCTAATTTGTACCACTTAGTAAGTCAGGCCCCAATGTATCGTATGTTATTTTAGTTAAACCTTTTTCTCCTGTCTTTATCTTGGCAGTAGAGCTGGGCCGTGAACATATGTGTATTAAATCCCAGAGTTCACATTGTAACCAAGCTGGAAATATGAAAAGAAAAGAATCTGGTGGCATTAAGTGGCAGAAAATCAGCAGCACTTATAAACGTGACAGACAGCTGTTTAAAACAGCAGCTTAACTGATCTCTCATATGAGCAACTTCATCATCGTCGAGTTCACTTTACAATTTTCCTGTTTTTGTGGAGCTGCTGTCATTCAGGTGACACGTGAACAAGTT